AACAAATAATCTCTGTGTAAAATGGCCATTTTTTCTTAATGTATTCCTTTTTTAATATCGAGTAGCAATTTTATTATTTCTGTATATACCAGATGTTAAATTTTTAATACCGTTAATTTTTTGAAACCGGTCACACTTTACAAATATTACAATACTCTAGGCTAAACTTTTATTTATTTCTATGAATAAAATATTTGTTTATTATTTATGTATAAATATAATAGGTACTTACCCGCTGGAAGTTATACTTGTGGGATTTTCAATTTTTGAACTAAGATCCAAGTAAAAAAAAACCCATAAATAATAGTTATTAGTATAATGAGATGTTTTAAAAAAAAAAAATCATAAGCAGATAGATATAATGAAATTAAGAGTGAGAATGAGAGTGAGAGAGACAGAAGAAGGAGAGAGAGTTATGCGAAATATATGTCAGAGCAATAAATAAAACGTATCGGTGGTAGGGCGGATCTTTGTTTTCAGATTTTCTGATTTATCGGAAACTAAATGCCAAAACAAAATCGACAGATATAATCCACCGTCACCGTCTCGCACAGACTACCAATATTGCGGTCGCGTGCATATATGCTTTGCACACGCACACACTCGCGCGCGTACGCAAACCTATAACACCATAACACCTGACTTGCAATAAATATTTTGCAAAACAGAATTTCGCCATTACGTGTAGGTAAATATATTATGTATCCTGTTTACACACAAACATTTTAATAACCCGTCACGGCATTCGGTAAAACTACTCTGCCCGTCATCCGTAACCCGTTCGGCAATGACGTTGACGGGCACCACGCACAACCCGTCAAATCATTACCTCCTGCTTGCAGTGGTTCATCCTGCCCGAGTACACGTCAGAGCGACACGGTACTATCTAGTTTATTTTTTATTAGATATTTCTTCCAGTATAAACAGATGCAAGTCCTACATTTAAAAATAAAAATAATCCTCGTGCGGAGAATGGTCGTCTGACCGTGATCAATGTTGAGATGCGATTTCATTTAGATTGATTTAGGAGAAAAAAAGTTGATTAAAATGAATGAAATCTCATTTAAAGAGAAATTAGAATCAATTTTCCAGCTGTCGTAATTTCGGTAAATAAAAAATTAAAAAAAAAAACAAGTAAATCGTCAAAGAAGAATTTATTCGATTTTATTCTGTTCTCTACACTCCATAATTATCTTCAATTTATTAATGAAAGAACGAGCAATTATATAGTTTTTTAAAAGTAAAACGTAGTTATGTTAACAAATTTACGGTGCTATTTTATAAAATGGCGCTGATTCGTGCGCAGCTACGGTGTTCCCATTTTTTTTGTGTCAGAACTTACATATGTAAACGTTTATCTACTATGCTTCGTGAGAGAACTTATCATCTATCAACGAAACATAATACCGTTATGATATTCTTTCACCGGCAACGTCGTCAAAGCTCTTGGTACCTACAATTCCACGAAAAATTTACGAACAATTGAGCCATTTTATTGTTCATCCCTGTTATTCAATTTTATTTATCCTTGGCGATCGCAGTAACAATGGTCTTATATCAACCTATGTGTCACGACCCGATTTTGGGTCGCAAATAGTTTTGAATGGAAATTCACAAAGGTTGTAAAATATTTTCACTGTAGACCCACCTACACCGAAATAATATGATGAAAATGCAATAAAACATTGTTTTTCTTAGTAAACATGTATACATTTTATTTTTCTAAAGATGTAATTTAATTTTATACATCAATACTTAGTAAACATATTAAATCTAACAGACTGTAAATATTAAATACGTATCGTTTATGAGTAGCTGAAATGTTCATGTATATTCATTATTATTGTACTGACATTTCGAATAGATCTATAATCGAATAAATATAAATTATTCAATTATTTCCTATATCTATATTATTAGAATCTGGTGAGAATATTTATTTTTTATTTTGATTACGTTATACAGTATATTAATTATAATTTTGAAACTATGATACACGTTTGAAGTATTTGTAGATTTATCTATTACATTGTAATAGTTTAGTTCTATCGTTTCAATTATTTTAGTATAATGTTTAGTATAATATTTACAAACATATTGTTATAACTTATGACAATACACTACAAATCATTAACATAATATCCATTAAAATAATTCAGTTTCTCCCCGCAGATATTCCTTTGCTAACAATTGTATCAAATGTTTGTAATAATTTTCTTGGGGTATGCTCCGTATACTCTTCCTCAAAGCGCACCCTGGTAACTATCGATGAAACTTTATTTCATCAATTGGCTAAAGTATAGAGAACCCGGGTCGGTGGACTGTGATTTTTGCATCTCCCGTCAATTATGATCAAAATAATAATCATTTATTTTTCTGGGAATATAGTATTGTAAAATTATAATTAATTAACGCTGGTTGCTGCGCTTTATTTTAAATTGTATTTATAAAACGACATAATTTGGGTTGTTGCAGTAAAGTATGATTTCAAACACAAACATATTTAAACTGCAGTAATAATAACAAATGTGTTGAATGAAAAATAACAATAATGACTACAAGAGTATTTACAGTTTACAATATGGAAAATATTTACAACTGGTATGTTACACATCTTTTTTAAAACTAAAAGGACTCATTAAAATTCTAAGATATAAATTTTATTTCCATACGGGTTTATGCATAAATATATTTTTATTTTAACTCAAATTAATATTCAATTTTTTTTTTTATTATATTAATCTTACTTAACAATATTGAAATTGATATATATATAATAGTTATATACTATTATCAATTGAAATTGATTTTTTGAAGCGATAACGTTGTCTCTCAAGTCAAAAAAAAAAGTAATTGTATTAAAATGTCGAGCCATTAAAATAAGAAAACGTATATAAAAGTTTTCAAATGAGCAATGTTTATAATTCATTTCTAAAGTTATTAGAAAAAATACTTTATATTAAAGGTATAATAAACAATTTATTGTGCCACATAAATTAGTATAAAACTTCATTGAAATAATTAAAATATTTTAGCTCTACAAATGTTTATCCTCACCCTAATATCTAAATAAATATTTTTTTTTATTTTTTTTTTAAGGAAAATATAATTTTGTTACAACATACAAAATATTATTTATTTATTTAATAAAATGTGTAATCAGTATTCTAGTTATTTATAAATTTTATGAATATTCAGTGTCCATTGTTTTATTACTCGTATTTAATATACGAAGTATCTAATCACTTAGATACTTGCTATTTATGTTGGAAAATAATTTTGCATATAATAAAGTATTATAGATATTATAATGTGCAAACAATAAATTAATCTGCATGAGAACATATGCATGTGATAAGATATAGTATTATAATTATGTGTAAATAAATTACTAACATTAATATTTACTTAACAGAAGTTAATTATCGAAGTATTTTTAATATTACTTTAAATTATAAGTTATAATTTTGCAGGCTAATCAAATTAATATTGAACAATTTAATATAGTTCATCATAGTTTTGATAACTACTTAAATGTATTCCCAACTTCTATCACAACTAAGGGTTAACTTAAATCATTAAAAATACAAAGTATATACTATTAATTTCAATGTATTAATAATGATCCAGTGTTTTTTTTTTTTTTGCATAAACAATATATTTTTCAATAATATTAGAATGTGATTAATAATATAATAAATTTATAATCACTGATTATAAATAATATTTCAAACTTTTGACTCGACATAGTTCGATTTTAACGACAACCAAATTTTGTTATATGTATTATTAAAATAAGTACAAATTATTTTTTTAAACTGAAAAGTATGAGGAAAATTATTTTTGAATTTGATTTTAATTTAAAGAAATATCCTTTGAAGCTTCATTACGGAAAAATCAGTATGTTTCTACTTCAATAGCCATCAATAGGTCCCAGAGGTTTATATACGAAAGAATAAAAATAAATGGGTACTCTTTAAGACATAAAATCTCGAGATGGTTTTGTCATAGTTATTTCATCAGAAATATTCTTTATAGAGAAATTGTAGTAAAATTAAGTACACAATTATAAGCAGAGATCAAATGCAAGTAAAATAATTAAAAAAAAAGCAAGAATAGGTCAGGAGAGACTCTAATATCGAGTGAAATGCAATATGGGTGAACTGCTGTATAATTTTTTTAAATTTTAAACTGATATAAAATATTTAAAAAAAAAAAAAAAACTATATTAAATAAAAATATCTGGAAAATTCGTAAATGAGCCACTTAAAATTATCGGGTAAACATCTATTCCAAATAAAAATCTAAAAGGATTCTGATGAATGAATCATTTTTTTAGGAAAAATTGTATATGCAGACAAAAAAAAAGTTGTGCATTGCAAAATAATAAGCTGTTATAATGGTGAGGATTAAAATCACGGTTAAAATAATTGTATGGCAATTTTTTCTCCATTTTCTCAACTATCCGGAAAACCGTTGAAAAACTTAAAAAATAACTCTCTTAAAGTACAAACTAATACTATTTCCTATATTTATTTTTATGGCGATCATCGGGGCAATTCTTCTGGTCGAATCGTTTGCAAAAAAAAAAAAAATACACTTCATAGTGAACCATTACATTCCTTCATTTACTCATAATCAAAAATAATATAGGCATACGTATAAAAATCCTGTGTGGAAGTCGATGAATTATTATACAGAAAAAGTCATACGCATTTTGAAAACGATCGCGTTTAAAGCGTGGCTGTATTCTGTCACTCGGTTGTCAGAACGAATTTACGATACCTTTTAGTTTTCTCACTCGGTTCAAAATCCTTTTCAATTTCCTTTTATTCTACTACATAAAATTATTATTATTATTATTATTATTAATGTTATTTTTTGTATTTTTTTTTCGTTTTACTATCGACGTAATTTTATGTTTAAGACATAATAAAAAACAATATCTGTCGTTGACATTATTGATAATTTATTTGACTTTATATTTCTCCCCTCGGCAGGTAACGGTGCCAAAGTAGTCGAAACTGTAGGCGCGACGATCATACAAGAATGCCATGACGACCGACAAATTCGAGCACTGAAGAGTTTGGGTGGCAACCTGCACCACTTTCTGACCACTTTAGACGGAGTACACGATGTTCTTCAATTGGGCGACGATAAGGTCAGAACAATATTATATATTATAATAATTGTATTTATTGATGAGTTACACACCAACAAACCATGATTTAATGCACGAGATATCGCGTTAACTTAATACTGTACAAGCTTAATTACCCAGCTTCGCACGGAACATGCTTGGCCGTGACATAGGTTTTAATGGATTATTACTTTACACAATTTAAAGCCAAGTTTGGTGTAACTGTTGGTGGTCATAAAATAAATAAAACAAAAGATCAAATTAATTGGTGTAATAATTTTAACTGTAGGCTGGATTACATCTGAATTACCGAATTTGCTGATTCCAATATTTTTTAAAATCCCTTCTTATTGCATGTATTGAATATTGGAGAAACCACCATGTCAAATTTCGTGTTCATATAGTTTTAAGATGTAGCGATGATCAATGAATGAATAATACATGACGTTGTCCGTTGAGAAAATTGTGAGTGTCCAACTCCATTTGGGTGTCACCGTAGAACTTATGCCTTTTTAAGTATAAATCACCCGAAATAACGGTTGAAATAATAATTTGTTATTTATTTTAATAAGTAAATATTAAATATAGCCATGTCTACCATATCTTATTGTACCGTTTACGATATTTAAACATATACTAATATCCTTACAACAATGTTCAAATTATTTTGGATTATTATTTTTTTATTTATTAATTTTATTGAGAAAAGTTTGACAATTCGAAGTTTCAAATAAATGCTATTTATTAAAGTGTATTTGGATTATACAATATTTTTTGTTTTTCCTTTTGTGGTGCGTACCTACTCAAATAAATCAGAAGGTTTTCTGACGCGTAAGCAGTCCACACACGGTTATCCATGTGAAAAGCATGAATTTTCAAAATTCAATCCACAAATTGCCCGTGTAATTTGTTAATTATCATTGCAAAAGCGAGTCGCACAAGACACTGCAAAAGTTTAAATTCCAATGGCTTATCTGTTGGAGTCATTGGAGGATGTGTGGTAATAGTACATGTATAGCTTTAAATTTTCCGTTTAAAATTATGGCTTCAATTGTGTTGTTATAAAATTTAAATAATTTACATAATTCTTAATCGATGATTATTAAAATCAACTTATAAAACAAATTAAATATTTCCTAGGTAACCAAAAATTGAAAAATGTATGCATCCAGTCCAAAAGTGTTTCGACCCTTAAATATGTGATTTTCGAAAAAATCTTTTCTTATTAGACATTGAAGGCTTGTTCCAAATTTCAGGTGCGTATGTTGAATAGTTTTTGACATTCAGCAATCAGTGAATAAGTGGTAATTAGATTTTATATTTCTAATAACTCATAACTCATAATATAATATGAGTATTGGTGTAAGCCCGATGATTATTTTTATTGATTAACTTCTCGGAACAATTATTCTTATCTACACGACGACGTCGACAAAAAAGATAGGTTGCAGGTAATTGGAAACCCGCGGGCCACCGTGCCGCACAATACGTATTAGTGGTGAATAATTATAATTGTTAATTACTCAACTAAAACATAATATTTTTGAAAATCCTTTTTTATTGGACAGTCAAAATATGAGAAAAACCTCTATTCTAAATTTCAAGTCCGTACGTTGCGTAGTTTTTGAGATACAGCGATCAGCGAGTGAGTGGTATTTGGATTTTATATGTATAGATAAATAAAAAAAACCGAATTTTTCGATGCAAATGAATATGAATTATATTGTATCTGGAATATTCTTCTAGTCCATCGGTAGTATCACGTGCTCAGAATTGTGTGATACTGTTGAATAAACGAAAAAATGAACATTATGAATAATTTTCTATTGCAAAAAATGCATATCACGATTTTTAATGTAACACAAATTTCAGATATTAAATTTTTAAAAGAATTCAAACTTAACAAACTCGAACAGAATAGTGTAATTTTACTGTATTCGATTTGAATTCAATGATTGCATTCAATAAAAAACGATAAGCGGACGAGGAATTTTTTTTGTTAAATTTTATTCGTTTCTTTCTATGGTGATAAACAAAGCGTTTTAAGAAAAGCTCAAGAACGATTTATATAAATAGGTAATTTATATAATTATAATTATAATTTATAATTAGAAAATATCATAAAAATGAAAAAAAATATAAAATAATAGAAAAAGCTCAAAGATCGCTCAAATGTTTTGAAAATTTTACCATGTCTAGGTAAAGATAATATAAATAAAAAACCCAAATTTTAAGTTTTTACGGATGTTTTTAACTAAATTACAACAACAAACTCCCAGAATTAAAATGTCTATAAATAGCTCAAAAATAGCTAAAATTTTCCGAACTTTAAATCGCTAGGAACAAAATCCAAAATACAACAAAATAGGTCTCTTGTCATTTTTTATTAGAAGCAATATTTCTAGTGGAACACGTCCGTAATTATTTAATATTATAAAATCGTGAAATCATACATTTGTTTTCTTTTAACTGCTTTTATTTCGAGTACCGTTTCGAATACCGAAAAATGACCTCACTAAATACCAGTTCAAGAAAATTACCTTTCAGAAAAGATGCTAAACTTAATACTTTTGAGCAAGTTTAGAGGGAGAAAAAGTGTTTACAGAATAAAAAAGAAAAAGAGAAAAAAATAAACATCATTGAAACCATTACATTCCACGCTCCGCTCAAAATCTAAAATTATTGATTCAACGTCCTTTCGTAGTACAAAAATAAATTCAAATCATTTTGCGTGTACTTCTTGTAAGATAAATAATTTAAAAAAACATTTATAATACAAATATTTTTAACTTGAAATAATTACAGTAGATTTTTCAATATGGATAGATGAAAATATTTTGAGAACACAATATTCTTTTAAATTGACATTTTAGAAATTTAGAGGTTATATATGTATATATATAACCTGAAGTGTTACAGTATTTACTGGACGCTATTAAAAAATATAATACGAACATATTAGCTCTGCAAGAAATTAGATGGCCAAATGACGGAAATATGAAAAACGATGATAAAACCATATTCTATAGCGGAAGAAAGGATGGAAGAAATGAAAATGGTGTGGGTTTTGTAGTAAGCGATGACACGCTACCACAAGTAAAATAATTCACGGCAGTAAATGACCGAATATGCTATATCCGACTCACAGGTCACATTTTTGATAGCATTATCGTAAACGCTTATGCACCAACTGAAGAGAAAGAGGAAAACATTAAGAATGAGTTTTACGATGAACTAGGACACATACTTGACACAACACCAAATAGCTGTATAAAAATATTAACAGGTGATTTTAACGCAAAAATAGGAACGGAAGATGTATATAGACCAACGATTGGACCGAATAGCTTACATGACGTAAGTAAAGATAATGCAACCAGATTGATCAACCTATGTATAACGAACGGTTTAACTCTTAATAGTACATACTTTCCAAGGAAAGATATATACAAACAAACTTGGATAGCACCTAATAGAATAACTAAAAACCAAATTGTTCATGTTATGATACAAAATAAGCATAAAGGTTGCATAAAAAGTGTCAGGAGCTATAGAGGTGCAGACGCCGACTCGGATCATTACCTGGTAATTACAAAACTTAAAATTAGACTATCTGAAAGATGGAAAAAGGTAAAATATATAAAATCCGTAAAATACGATATAGAAAAACTGTCAAAAAAGAAGGTTTTAAAGGAATACATATATAAAACTCAACAAGAATTACAAAAATCCAACAGTAATGCAGATGAAGATGGAGAACGGATATGGGACAGAATCAAGACGGCGGTAGTCAATAGTGCTAATAATTGCCTAGGAATAAGAAAACAAGAAAAAAGAAAAGAATGGTTTAATGATAGGTGCAAGGAAGCAATAGACAGAAGAAACCGCATACGAGAAAAAACTATCAAGGACCCAAGTGACATAAATATGGAAAGATATAAAAATACTAAAAAAGAAACCAATAAAGTACTAAGATGTGAAAAAAGATTAGCGGAAAAAGCAAAGATTAAGGAAATTGAAGAAAATAAAAATAACTCCAGAAGATTCTTTAGCTAAACTACCAACATTAAACAGGGATATAAACCGCAGACTAGGATACTAAGGAATGAACTAGGTGAGTTAATAACAAAAGAAGAATCTGTAGCAGAAGAATTTAAAAAACATTTCGAAAGATTACTAAATAAAACACCACCAATACCAACACATGAAGATATACCTATGCAATATAGTACAGCGGAACCATATATTAAAACTCCAACAAAACAGGAAATCTATAACATCATAAAAAAACTTAAAAACAACAAATCACCTGGAGAAAACAACGTAGTTGCGGAATTATTAAAAAATGGAGGAAATGCGATTAAAGATGAAATTTGGAAAATGATTAAGGAAATTTGGGAAACCGAAGTAATGCCAGGAGAGTGGAACACGGCAATACTATGCCCAATATTTAAAAAAGGAGACACTTTAGACCCAAAAAATTACAGAGGAATCTCATTATTGGATACTTGTTACAAGATATTGTCAACGCATCTTTTGGAAAGAATAACGCCATATGCAGAGGGTATCATCGGAAGATACCAGTGTGGCTTTATAAAGGGGAAATCCACTATCGACCACATTTTTACCTTAAGACAAACAATGGAGAAATACTACGAATTTGACATGGATTTATATATGATATTTGTTGACTATAAACAAGCTTATGATAGTGTGAACAGACAGGAATTATGGAAAGCAATGTTACATTTTGGAGTTCCGAAAAAATATGTAAATTTAGTAAAGATGTGTAATGACAAAACTGTACTGAAAGTACGTTTTCTTCAGACACTATCACCAGCCTTTGAGGTTAATTCTGGATTGCGACAGGGAGATGCCCTATCCCCAACATTGTTCAATTTGGGACTAGAAAAAGTTATTAGAGAAGCTTATGAAGACAGAAGAATGGAAGTTATTGGTGAAGAAACTATCTTAGCATATGCTGATGATATAGTTCTTTTAGGGAATATGCGAGAAGAAAT